AGATATGTGGGGCGTGTTAGAACGAGGCGTTTTAGGTAGGCGTGGTTGATTCTTAACTTTTATAAAGAATATCTCTTTGGATTTGAGACTTTAGTCTTTGCAACTTTACAGATCTTCTTTATGCACCAAGAGCTTGTAACACTCCAAAGAGAAAGGAAAAATTGAAATCGCATCATATGACCCCTTTAATCAGCAGTGCATTAAAAAAGCTTTATGGCCTCCCCTCCAGTCTGAGACTATTTGAGGGTCTTGAACTTATTTGCAGCTTAGCGTACCATCGTGTGCACAGAGCAACTGCATGGCTTTCCGCCAATGACTGTCAATCTGCTAATGCTCCTTGATTACCAATGTCCTCTCAAATAAGACAAACTGGATCATGGGGAATCAATCCATGCAACATTAGCAGATAGGCTTGACAACACATTAGACAGAGGGGAAGGTGAATGTACGAGTGTGTGAGCAGAGGTGAATGGCTCCTGATTCATCAGATTCTCTACTTTATGCCAGGTGAATTTCTCAATTTCACAGTCAGCGAAAATGTCAGTGGGTGTTACACCCCTCATCCTTCTGCGCTATGGCCCAGTCATCAGACAGTGGATAAGATCTTGTGAGTATGAGGGAACGTAGCTTTAAATTTCCTCTAGTGTTTGGAAATATATTTGAACAACAATAAAATGAAACATCTGATATGTAAAATGAAAACAAAAAGTGTAAAATCAGACAGGTTTATCAGCTATTTCAACCCACACTTAGATACTCTAAAATGTACAAAGTAAGTGGCTTTATTTGAAAGTACATTTGTCAAAACAGAAGGTTACTCTGTGAACTAAGAGATCAGAAACAAAAAATTAAGATTGGTAACAGTGTATACACACACCTCACCTGTAATTTCTATTGATTCACTGAGAAATAAAACAAAACAAGGCACTAAAATTGTTCATTGTGAGTGACCATGTTAGCTTTGCATGGTCACTATTATCGAAGTGTATCGATCTTTAACTGTGGGATCCTCGATCATGCACCTATTCTCATTAATTGTTATATAATGTAGCACTTCATAGAAGTAGAGCCACTGACTGCCTTCTCACTGTGCAGGACAATTTTACAATTCTGACACAGCAATTTTCCCTATAGCAAGCTATCCTACTTGCACACATTTGAATAATTCAGAAGTGTGATAAGAGGGAAAATGTTCTGCAATTGGTGTTCACTTATCTCACAGTGTATCTCACAGTGTATCTCACAGTGCCTGCAATCTCAGAAATGTGCTGTCACCTGGCATGGTTTCACCTGATGGAAAGATACGAAAAGACAAATTTGTTTCGCTTTATTTGTGTTTTGTGTCACAATGCGTTTTTGATTTGGCTACACTTAATTACTTCCTAAGACGCTGAAACACTTAATTAATGTTGACATGCTTTGAATTAGCATAAACAGGCAGATTCACTTGCAAGACAAAACAGCCCTCTGGACAGGGAGACATTAGCTTTGCTTTTTCCTCTCCTTTACTTTGATTGTCAGGAGGGGGAGTCAAGCTGACAGGCCCAGAGGGAGAATGCCTGACAAGAGGAGAGAAGTACTTTGCCATTTCAAAGCATCTCCATGTTATCTTGTTGTTTTTAGGCAGCAACTTTCTGCCTAAATTAAGGAATAACATCACATTCCACAAAACAACTAGTTCAGTAAAATATATGTAATTGTCTATGGGTAAAGTAGCTTTATTAGTGATAAAAAAAAAACTTTAATCTGAAGATATATACTAAATATATGATTGAAGGATCTAAAGATACAAGAAAAAACAAAATGCTGATTATTTTCAGCAAATAACTGCTAAATGGCATTATATATTTTATATTTTTTATTTAATTTATATTAATGTTTTAAAGATTAACTTTAATTATGTATTATGTGAATGCAAAGGTACAGTGACATACAAATAGAGGAAATCCCACTTTCCTTTTTGTGACCACTACTGCTACTGCAAACAACATTTTGTTAGGACCATGTGATTTTTCAGTTTTTCTTTTTTAATAAATCTGCAAAAATGTCAACAATTCTGTGTTTTTCTGTCAATATGGGGTGCTGTGTGTACATTAATGAGGAAAAAAAATTAACTTAAATGATTTTAGCAAATGGCTGCAATATAACAAAGAGTGAAAAATGTAAGGGGGTCTGAATACTTTCCGTACCCACTGTATGTTAGCACCATAAAAATAATATCAAATTCTTCACACCTTAAAAAGATGGGCTCTCAGGGATTTTAGGTTACTATAATTTGTCACAATGGCAGTCTAAGTGTCTCTGAACACCTCCGCAAGATTAGCAGAGTTAGGCATGTGTTTCTGACTGACACGCATGCCCTTTTTTGGGCTTAAAAGAGTATGTTCTTTTCCAAGAGCCCAGGAGCAGTTCCATCTAATCTACTTCCCCTCATCTACATCCTCAGCAGTTCTGCTAAAAATAGATTCAGACTAATCTTGAGATAAAATGTGTCCACTTTGGTAATATTCTGGGTTCAATCAGTACTATGCGTCTGCTCCAATACAGTTTATTATGAAGACAATACAACAAAGAGCAATACAGTGTGGCATTATCCATTGTAGACGATATTTGGCCTGGATGAGCTGGATGTGATAAATAAAAGAGGATTTGTGATAAATGGGCTGCTTAAAAAACATCATGTTGCTTTATCGGTATCAATCTGCTCTTCTTAGTTTGTTGGAATGTCAATTACTACTTAAAGAATCTGTTTATTCACCAGGATGCTTACGATATTCAGCCGAAGTCAAACTTACGTTTTAATCCTACTATTAGGTTTAGGGCCTTAGCGGTTCTTATTGCAATCAGGCCCTCTGAAGCCACCTTTCCTTTTCCACAACTAATACATTCCTCAGTTTAAACCTTTTATCGCTGCTTCAATAACGACAGGTGTGGGAGTCCTCATTAAACGCAACTTCCTCATGAATAATTTTAATAAGTTAATGTTAAAGCCATTTTACCCCTAAAGGCAAAGCCTGTCACCAGCCTTCAATCAGTTACTTATCAAAACTGCCTTTTACAGTTAAATCCTCTGCGCTCGCGCAGTTGTTAATAGCTATGCTGCATTTTGCCCTCAAAACATTTCATGTCACAGTATGAAAACATAATATTAAAGCCTCACAGGCTGTTCATGCAAAGTATTGATTTTGTTTGCTTCATATCTGAAGATGTAGCAAGCATGTATGCATGAGGCAGGTACTGATGCAAGGCACATACTAATGTATTTGTCAAATTCTTACAAATGTTTTTCCCCAAGAGCTTGCCGTTGTTGTGAGAGTACATTACTCAGGCTTAAAGCAGAAGGCTAAAACTCCAGAGGCAGATTGATTTCACAACCCTTTCAATGCTGAGGCCTCATTGATCTGGCTTTCCTCAGCGCCTGACAGGGACCCCTGATGACAAATCTAAAATTTCCACCTCCTGTAATGAAGGGGACTGAGCTTTGTGTCAATTGTGAACAGCAACATATTTTCCGGCCATGTCCATTTCTCAAAACAGGAGGTGTCAGGGAATGAAAATCGTTTCAGCAAGAAGGGCAATCTATTAAACTGCTTATAAGCTACCTTTAAAACGCCAGTGACAAAATCTGATTAAATGAACTCGCCTGTATTTCTGGAAAAGCGTGCAGCCACAGCCAATTCATTCATTTTTGGGGGATTGAACTCACTGCAGATTCTGACAACATGACACTGAGATAAAATCACACTTGTTAGAGGAAATCCTAGATTGCAAGATTTATGTTTGACACACAGAAAGGTACATGAACAGTGAACACCTATCTGAGGTGATGCAGAGAAATGCTTTTGAGATTACAAACTGTGTTCAATTTTAAACATTTACAGAGGTCAAAATTTGCCAATGTTATGAACAAATTGTTATTCATAGTTTTCACATGACGTCACAGCCTTATGGGAATGCCCACCTGGAGGGCAAAACAAGGCTTTCTTCCGCTGCCAGCCAGATTGTACTAAGTACTAATGTACTAAGACAGTGATATTAAATAGTACACGTTATTGATGATGCCTACTATATATACAGGCAAGCAGATGCACCCAGAATATAAACGTAACATGCCAAATTCAACATGAATCATTTTTCCATAGAAAACCATTTAAAGAAAATTCTTAATGTGGCTTTAAGACAGTGATATTGGAGGACCAAATTCAATATACACCTTATTAATAAAACATACTATGTACAGACAGGCATATGAACCCAGAATATAAACCAATACACAAAGTTTCATGTTCAGCGTTTTCCCATAGAACACCATTATAGAAAGAAAATGCTTAACATGCAATTTAGCATGTTGCATTCATATTCTGGGCTCATCTGCTTACCTGAATATAGTAGGTCTTATAAATAAGTTTTATACTGAATTTGCTATTTTAATATCACTGTCTTAAGGTTCTGTCACATTAGCAAATCTAGGCGAAATAACGTGAGCAAAAAAAGGTCCATTGTCAGTAGTGTAGTGATTTACAAAGCACTTCTCACACAAAAGTCACTTTCAGACCAAGCAGCTTTCTGTTCATACAATGGCCAAATCCGTCAGAACTGTTTCACTACCAACATTCTTTAAAATATCTTTTGTGTTCAACAGAAGTCAGTCAGTCATTCAGGTTTGTGAGTAAATGAGAACAGAATTTTGATTTTGGGGTGAACTATCCCTTTTAAGCCATGTTAAGTGTTTTAGAATGTCCCTCTGTCTTTAGTAATTGAAATACTGTGGCAGGTAATGTACATGGATAGCGTGCCCAAATCTTGCAGTTTCTTCACATATCTTTGTTTTTCTTCTTTTGGGAGGTGGTCTAAATATTCGTGGCTTGAAACAGATGGAAAATTGACAGGCCTGAGCTGCAGTTCTATGGATGTTCAGCCCTCCGGTTCTGTGTGCCAGTCACGTGACTGAAAACTATGAATTAGGTACTGCAGAGACATTAGAGGGTAGCACTACTCACCAGTTGGAGCCAGGAGTCTCGGGGGTGGTGGAGGAGGGGGTGGAGGGGGTAACGGTGGGTAGGGCCTACACTGGCATGGCAACTGGCAGCTCCCTTCTAGCGGTGCCACTGTGGTCCGGGAGCATGATTTCTGGAGCTCCCCTCTCGCAAACTAGGGTGGAAAACAGAGCACAACTTAGATTAGTGTTTCTGTCACTTTCATCATCATGTCATGTGTAGCACAGCAAAAACTGCAATAGTAAAATGAGATTTTTCGCAATAGCTTAGAATTTACAATGAAGAGAACATCATAACAACACAAGCACTCTCTCGTATTTTCTCTCGCATGCTGGCGAATGGAAGCTCCCTCCCACTAAAGTGGAGAATGAAGGGTGTGTGGAGGCTGAGGTCTCTCAAAGAGAGCACCCACCCACACCGCAGAGCCTCGGACCCCTCAGAAGAGTGGGAGTAACTAGGGGTGAACCCTGACACTGCCTCCCCCAATAGGCCATCCAGTAAACACTTCTGCTAGTCTTGTGAACATTGTTGCCACAGGGGACAGATCTAAAGGACCAAAAGCCATGTCTCCAGAATGGAACACAGTTCAATATCTATGACTTTAACTGGTGCTGAGAGGCAGGGCCGTGCACAGGGGGGTGGCCCGGTGGCTAGAGCCACTGCCCCTTTGCCCTCATCGGCTGAGTTGCCCCTCTCACCAATCTCCCCCATCACCCCAGCTCAAAGCGGTCTGTTCCCACTCCGCTAAAGATCCGCTGATTCCGCTAATCTGCTCCGTCTTTTCCCGCCC